TCTATATATATATTAATTTTAAATAATTTTATTTAATTACATATATTTGTATTTCGCCAAAACTTATTATTCGTGCACTTCTAAATGAGTGCCACGAATCTCAAGCACAACCTCACATTCGCAAGCCTCGTTTCAATGAATTTACAACAATTGAAATGAATCAATGTCAATTTGCAAGATATTGCATTTGTAATTTGTTTTTTGATTGGCTTTACTTAATTAAGAAGGATTGGCCTTTTTAATTGCGATGGAAGCAACTTGAACTTGATTCTTATATGTTCTAATTTGTCACCTGCCGATTTCATCTCACACCCTCCATTTTGGTGGTGGAGCACAACAAAGGTCAAAAGAAGTATGAATATACTTAAAAAAAAATCAAGCAATGCTTCGTGAAAGACCTAGCACCATCTTTCTTCTTTTATTTTCTTTTTGCATATTTTATGCCTTATTTTTTACCTAATTTTATATAAGAAAACTCTGATAATTACTGAAAATTTGATAGAGTATGATAGTGAGAAGGATGGGAGAAATGAAAAAAAAGTTGATTTTAGGTTCTGTCACATATCATTCCTAAAAGCAGACCTAAGCTTAATAATCATGTATAAGCCATGTAACACCGAGGCATCATTATAAGTGTTAAGAAAGAAATAAAACCTCAAATTTCTCTTCTATCGGTAAGAAGGTTGTAAAATCTCTCTTTTAGTTATGAAAGCTTTTAAATGCTCCCAGCTAGCTTCCATATGCTCTATCCTCTATGCAACAACATCTGGAGGATCATTCTTCTTTTCATATCCAAGCAGTTGAAACAAATAATACAAGCAAAAAAAAAAAAAAAAGCAAACAAACGATACAGATGGACTGGCAGCAATGATAATCATAAATTCAGAGAAATAGCAGTGAGAACATTAGAAAGAACAAGTACCTTATAGAGCTGTTCCATTATCGCTGAACCAATAACACCAGTATAGAATGCAGCAACATAGATGATAACAAGAGGGGTAAAAGACTTTGGACGTCTATAGGGTTCAATCATGTCCCACAGCACCGTCTTCTCACCCTTATAATAGAGATAATTTGAATACATCTTCCACATTCGACTCGTCATGTCCGTGGAATCAAAACGAAACCTATTAATGATAAATCACCTTTTTGAATGAAGAAAAGAAACTCAATTTGATGGCTAAATAAGCTTAGTATCAGTCTTTATAAAAAGTGAACCAACAAAGAATAAAGAAACAGTTTAAATATGGAAAGTACAAATGAACTCTCCACGGATCAGGACCTTACATGATTTTTAATATTTAACCATCATAAAGACAGCTAAGGTCCAGCTTAATTAGAAATAAAGTTACCCACGAAATTAACGGGATCAATGTCGAGATATTATTCTAACATCAATAATCTTATATAATTTTACCATATAAAGTCAATTTTCCACTGCTAACTTAAATTGATTCAGTTAGGTCATTAGTCCTCCAAATCCCACCTACAACTGTAGAATTATGGGTAATTCTCTACATTTATACTTATACTTAATATAATAGTTTAAGCAATCATTTTAACTCAATAAACATGGCAGAAGAAATACGCAAAACTATCAATCTAGACTCATCTATCTAATCACCTTAAAAAACCAATTGCATATGAGAATTAGTACTTGATTACAGTGTTAAATGTCTTAATTAAGCTAATCAACAGGTATTCTTAATTTAATAAATTAGGCTTAAGCTATCCAGGCTTCAATCTTTTCAAACTTGACCTTAATCTATATCTATAAGAAAATCTAACTCAGGCAAAGGCAAAAAAATATTTTTTTAAATTTGCTAGCAACTTATCATAAAGTACACATAATGTGTGATTAAAAAGGTATTTTTTCATAAGGTTTCCTTTCAAAATCTTCAAGCAGGGTTCCAAAATTCTAAAGAGCTGCAAGTCAAAGAATTTCAAACTATTAGCAACACATTTCGCATATAAGTTCTTCAATTGAAACTGAGAAACTCTATATTAGTTAGATTAAAATATCAAAAGCAGAAGCTAGAAAAGCTATTATTGAAGAAGAAAGAAAAGTCTAAGGAGCTGTCTGGCAATGGATTTAGACCAGGATTTAAACTGGATTTAGACAAAATCTTGCCAGATTGTCAGTTTATACAACATAAAGCCGCGGATTTAATAAATAAGGGTTTCAAGGATTTCGGCGGTCAATCCCGGATTTACTAAATTCTGCTGTTCGGCGGTTTTAGTAAATTCGGGAAGAGCGAAGCGAAAAATGGCCCGAACAGGCCCACCTTATAGTAGCGGAAAGGAAGGAGGTGAAAAATGGGAGTTTCAGTGGATTCTGAACGCCTTAATCCCGTAGTTGCGTTCCCACCTAGCTCCAATCTCGACTGTATTGCGACGGCTCGGTCACGATGGCGATGGTTTTGGGCGAAACCGGGAGAGGGGAGGGACAAACCGAAGAAATATTACATCCGTACTCCGAAGGGCTGTCAAAAAAGCTGGGGGACGCTCGTGTTGGATTCGTGATCGTGTTCGGTTCGTGAGATACAAATAAATTTTATTTTTTTGGAATTGTTAAACAAACTAATATTTCGTTCTTTCGTGTTGGATTCATCTTTGTTCGAAATACAAACACGAACAATGACCCTTTCGTTCATGTTCGATTCATTTTTGTTCGAAATATAAATAATTAAAAAATATTATGAAATTTAAAAATAATTATATTATAAATATTAAAAATTTATCAAATTTTAAAAAACTAAACTCTATAAATTATAATATATAATAAAATAATAATGATAATATGTTAATAAACTGTATTAGTAATATAAATATTATATAGTTATATACTTATATAATATAAGTTTTATAATTAATATAAAATATTATTTATATATATTAATATATACAAACCGCAATCCACCCTAACCCTCATTACTGTTCGGCTGTTCGATTCTTGGGCATCCTTTCGGCATCTCCCCTCTCTCGAAAAACTTTCGGCCGGCTCTTTCTCTTCGCCTCAAAACCGCAAAAAGCTTTGTCATCGAGAGCTTAGGGTTGAATGTTTGTATTCGTTCTCCCATAAAGTAGGCGTTGGATCAATTACTCTGTATTCTTGCTTCAGTGCTCGATATTCTTGCTTGGTTGCTTGTAAGGCCATCGAGACGTCAATTTTTAGTATATTTTCTTTAACATTTCAAGTTTATCTTCATGCTTGCCTCTTAGGTTAAATTTTCATAATTTTTTTTAGGTTTTTTTCTTCTTTTTTGAGTGAAACGTAGCTTAAATGTAGATCTGTTTGTCTTCATATTGACTATATGTTTATTTCTTTGAGTGAAACCTAGGTTTTTTGAGTGAAACCTAGGCTTCATCTCTGAGTATTTTTTAGGTTTATTTCTTCTTAACTGCTAAACATTTGAAATATTGTTTCTGCTTCTTTCATATATTGTAGATCCATTGGGGGGACTGAATCGTTCTAAGTTTCACTATCTATTTTGTAGATCTATTGGGGGGACTGAATCGTTCTTCTCAGCAATAACGAACTGTTCATAAGTTTCAAATTAATTTATTAGCGTTTTGAAACAAACATCTATTTTTTCTAAAGGAGGTAGCATATTTATCCTACATATATGGGCTATCATTTATTACATCACATTGCTTTAATGGTACGATTTCATAAAGTATATTTTAAATCAAATATCTTAAGAAAGAAAACCTTAGAGTGTATTTCTTAATAACTTGACAAGCATTATCCTTTTAATACCAACTTAGAGAATTTGGTTTTGAATAACAAATAATCAAAGTACAGAAATTTCTTCCCTTATTGGATCCAAAACAGCTTCTATGAGGTTATATTTCAATTCGAGCTTAAGGTGGAAATGCATGCAACATCAAGGCCTCATAATCTGCTTTTAGTGCTGGTGGTAGAGTATTAGATGATTACAGAAGTAGCTTATCCACTAAAACCGTTAATGCATTGATTTGTGCCTCTAGTTGGCTTCGATTTGCTCAAAAAAATGCAAACACTTATGATAATCCTTTCATTAATTATACCATTTTCTACTTTCTCGTTTATTTTATTTATTCTCAATACTAGATACTAACATTTATTTACATTATTACTTTTCAGCAAGAGATAATTCTTTGCTCACGTGCTATATCTTTTGCACTAGCTTAGAGAGCCTTCACAACTGGAATAATATTCAATTCTATTTGACGTTTTTCTAAAGCCTTGCAACATAAATCATCAATACAAAATTTTTATTTAACTAAAATTTTAAAATAACTGCTTTTCTTATAAATTTTGTTTTGTATTTTTGTACACTTTGCTTGCTATCTTGCTTCAATTGTCCTTTTTATTTTTTAACTTTAATTATGTTAAAGTAGACAGATCGTAGTTTTTAGTTATTAAAACCAAGCTCTATAAATGTGCATGATTTATAACAATTTGTTTTAACGTTATCTTTGTTGGTTTGAGGTTCCATCCTATTTCTGCTTTCAGTCAATTATATCAAATTTAAGTTTTTTTTTGTTAGAAAACATGTTATTTAGAAGCAAACCTTTGCATATATTTAAATTTCTTTTTCTTTTGAAGCACAATTACGTACATACATGCATGAAATGATTGTAATCTCATGTGATATAATATTTTTGTATGCAGTTATTTAGAATGTCAAATATTGAACATTCTCAATCTGCATCAAGTAGTAAACAATTGTCAATTGCAATTCATGATGGAAATGATAGTTCTCAACCCGTAGAAGTGGTTGTTGGAAGCACTAGTACTGAAATAGAATGTAAGAAAGGCAGGAAGAGAAAATCATCTGTTTGGGAATATTTTGTTGATGTTAAATCAAATTCCAAGGGGGTTGAAAAATCATTTGTTCAATGCATCTGCTGTCGGCTAAAAATTTTTAAGCCCAAGTCAGGCACAACCTCACAACTTCTTAGGCACATTAAGGAATATGCTAAAATAAAAGTAAAGAGTCAATAATTAGTTAACTTATCAGATAAGAGACAAAATATATTGAACTTCTTTCCTTTCAAAGCTGACAATGATTCAGAGTTTCCTACTTTCTATGATCCTAAAAATTATGATCAACAAGTCATAAGAGAGGTGATTGTAAAGATGATAATTGTATATGAGTATTCATTCATGATTGTTGAACATACGTGATTCAATATACAGTTGAAACTGTTGAATCCTAACTTTCAAAGTGTTTCAAGAAACACCATAAAAAATGATTGCATGAAAGTTTATGAGCATGAGAAAGAAAAGCTTAAATTTTGCTTTTAAAATATTCATATGGTGTCATTAACTGCTATTGTTGGACCTCTAATCAGACTATCGGATATATGTGCTTGACTGCTCATTATATCGACGAAACATGAAAGTTAAAGAAGGTTATTATCAATTTCATTGAATTAGAGCCTCCACATAAGGGCACTTACATATGTGACGCTATTTGTGAGTGTTTGTTGGAGTGGAAACTTCAAGAAAAAATCTCTACAATTACTTTAGATAATGCGAGCAATAATGATGTGGCAGCTAGTTCCTTAAATGCGAATTTTGAATCACGAGGGAAGTTGCACTTTCGTGGTCTTTTTTTCCATGTAAGATGTTGTGCACATATTCTCAATATTATGGTCCAAGACGGTCTAAAGGAGGTGCATGAAATCATCCAAAATATTAAATAATTAGTTAAGTATCTAAAAAAATCTCCTGCAAGATTACATAAGTTTGTAGAAGTGGCAAAACAATTAGGAGCTGCAATTACAAGGTTACTATGCACTGATGTTTCTACTAGATGAAACTCAACTTTCAACATGTTGGAGTCCGCATTTATCTATCGTACTGTTTTTCATCACTACGTTATTAGAGATAGCAACTACAAATGGTTGCCTCTTGATTCAAAATGGGTGAAATATGAGAAAATCAGAAAATTTCTTTCTGTTTTCAATAATGTTACAAAGATGATCTCTGACACTATATATCATACTTCAAATATATTTTTACCTGCAGTTTTGCATGTCAAGAAGATTTTGATTGAGGAGTCATTGTCAGAAGATGAATATATGAGAAATATGACTATGTGTATGTAAGTCAAATTCAACAAATATTGGGGGGAATGTAATCTTTTAATGTCTATTGCAGCAATTTTGGATCCTAGATTGAAACTTAAATTTATTAGCTACACATTCCTGAAATATACTCACATAATGAGGTTGAACAAAATCTTAAAATAGTTCAAGATGCATTGTGGAAAATATATGCGGTTTATGTTATTGATTGTAATGTTTCAAATGAGAGTTCTTCAACTGTTGGTGATTCTATGAGTTCCTCAAGTCAGTTTGACGTTATGTTAGAATTTATTCAATATATGCTTGGTGGGATTCAAGATTTTGTTGTAGCTTCTGGATCTGTGGAACCTTCAAAACCTGATTTACATATATACCTTGAGGAGGGATTATTTGTGTGCTCGAGTGAAAACTTTGATGTTCTTGATTGGTGGAAGATGAATACATTGAAGTATCTCCGGCTTTTAATTATGGCAAGAGATATTCTATCAATACCCATAACCACTGTTGCCTCAGAATCTGCTTTTAGTGTTGGTGGTAGAGTATTAGATTATTACAGAAGTTGCTTATCCACTAAAATCATTAATGCATTGATTTGAGCTTCTAGTTGGCTTCGATCTGCTCAAAAAAATGCAAAGACACTTATGGTAATCCTTTCATTAATTATACCATTTTCTACTTTCTCGTTTATTTTATTTATTCTCAATACTAGATACTAACATTTATTTACATTATTTCTTTTCAGCAAGAGATCATTGATGAGGAAAAGCTTAATATTCAACTACCAGATATATAAAGTCAGCTTAGTCATTTCTACTTTATACAAGAGTTTTCATTGCTAAGAATTTACATTATTATCGTACCTTTAAACACTTGCATTTATCTATCGTACTATGTTCAACTAGAGATACAATTAAACTAGAGCTGCTCGGATACTTTTTCTTTAACAATTTTGAGGCTTGCAGTTTTTTTTTTCATGGCAGCTAGGCTTATTACTATCATGGCTGCTGCAATACTGCATGGGGCAATTACCTTTTTTTTAATCTGAAGTTGGAGTCTGAATTGGGCAAGTAATTGTAGAGATTTATCGTAGTCCTCTTGAAATTTATTAAATTTGAGCTGACTATATTTAAAAATTTTCGCATGAGTTCTCTTCCTCTCTCTCTCTCTCTACTGTGTGTGTCTGTCTGTTGGGCACTTGGGCTTGCCTTCGTTTAGGCAATGCTACTTTGTTGTGCAGTCATTAAACAAGGTGAGCCATATGAAGGGTAAATGCAAAAGAATTTAATGGGAATGTATGTAAATCTTCCTTCATTTTTTTTTTTAGAATTTTGTTCTTGTTCTTCAATGCGGGAACCACGTGATGTTTAAATACATAAGAAGTTTGTGGCAACCATTAAGCATTAAACATTGATGTTTAAATTGGTC